TTCTGATCAAGCCTCAAACTTTATTCTTACAGCGGCAGAATATATACTGTTTTAGGGACGGGGGGTGGGTAAAGGGTGGGTAAAGGGTGGGTAAAGGGTGGGTTATCTTTTAACTCCTGGCCAATTTGCAAGACACAGGTGGTTTCTGGTAATTAGGAGTTTCCGAAGGAACCAGAAACTTATAGTTCTTAAGATGGCTTTGTCTAAGCCAATATTTCTAATGGCTCCCAACATAACAAACCCTGCGATTGGAGAGATATACTTAGAGCAAATGGAGCTGGGCTTGAATCTAGATGTGTGACTTAACTTCTCTGAACTGTAGTTTTATTTTCATCCTGATTTTGTAATAATTTTTAGTTCTTTGAAAATTGAAATAAAAATTATTAATTCAAACATAATACCTTTTTAGCCCCCAAAATCAGAGTATAAAAGAGAAAAGATGATATCCAGTTTTACTGAGGAAACTGGCATTAAAGGTCTGAATTACATCTTTCTAGATGTTTTATACACACAAGCACACATTTTTAAAACAAAAAATGGGAATAGAGTGGGGCCTTGACTTACGAGTGTCCTGACTAATGAGTTCTTTGAGATACCAGCTGTCTCTCAGCCGATTTTTTGCATTGAGTTGATAGAGTAATTTGAGTTAACGAGCACCTTAACGAGCTCGGTCTCGGAACAAATTAAATTCGTAAGTCAAGGCCCCACTGTATGAAAATTAGTATTTTTTACTTAAAGGATCTTCATATCTTTCCATGTTTATAACTTTTAGATCCATGACCCCTAGAGTGGTGCTTTGCAGACCCCGTTGTCCTTGGCCTTGTTGTTATGTTCCTCGTGGTGGTGGCCCTCATTTCCCCTCGTGGGCAGGAAGGCAGAGTCTCCTGTGTCCAGCCACCTGAGCATTTTCCTGGATGCTAATCCACCGTGGAGGGTGTGCTTTGCAGAAATGCATCTCACCAAAGCCTTATGTCATCATCAGCTTGTTTTGCAGGAACCGGGTGGAGTCCATGGCTGAAAGCATGCTTCTGTTTCCTGGTACAGGGGGAGTTTCATCAGAGCGTTTCCTCTTCCTAATTCCATGCCTAGTAAAGCAGGGATAGCTAACCCCAGCTTGTCACTCCACCAAGACCCATTTAACAGTCCACTCACCTCAACTTGATGGGCAATTTCTAGAGTTCATCAATGCCTGTGGGACAAGGGTGAGGGATTCAATTGGAAGTATTTTCCGGAATCAAACGTAGAGGATCACAGTTCCTCATATCCCATCTCTCCCAAGTATGTGCAGAAGGGTAGGAAGCAATGAATGTTTTGTTGTCTTTTTAAAAAAGCTCACATTATCAGCTGACAGTGCGAAAGGGTACACAGTAAGAAACTGACAGTTATCCTGATCTCTAGCTCCCCTGCACCACCTGCTGTCCTTCCTTTGAGGTCGGCACTATTAATCATTTGTCATGTATCCTTCTAGATTTTTCTAAATTTTGAATGGGATTATAAAGTACTCCCTATTCTTCCACAAATGAATGATTTTAAAGTGCAAATGACAGTTTGATATGTCAAACATATTTATCTGGGAAGAACTTATGCAAAGGAGACTTAAAAGTGAGTGGGAAAGCGGAGTGGCCGTGAGGGGACCCAGGCTTCTGCGCTGTGGTTGCTGAAGTGCCAGGGTCAGTCCCCAGGACAGCTGGGGCTCTACCAGGTTGTCTGTGAAATCTCAGTCCCTGGTCTTGATTCTTTTCTTGCTCCTTCCTTTCAATGTTGGGGAGACCCCTACTCTGTCTTCTGACATATAACAAAGCCTGCGAGTGGGGAGATATACTTAGTGCAGATGGACTCTGAACTTTAGTTTTACTTTCGTTTTCTTGGCTATAAAGTAGGGAAGACAATCACTGAGAGTGGCTGTGCGGATGAAGCGTGCTCAGGAACAGTTCTAGCTTATAGTATGTACTCCACAAGCCTTAATTTCTTTTTCTCCTGCTTCTTGAGCCTTCACTCTAGAAAGGTATGTTAGGACTTGGGCATATTACTTCTTCCTAAAGGTATTTGCATTCCAAAGCTGATCAAAACTTTAACTGAAGAAATTAAAGTGGGAAGATACTTTTGCAGTGAGGCCACGCCCCTCTGCCTGGTTTTTTTTTTTTTTTTTGGAAATATTGCATGAATAGTCACAACAGGTGTGTCCTCAGCCTCAGGGTGTGCCCTTTTCTCAGAGCTGGTCCTAGGGTCAGACCTAACCCCAGAGGACAATTTGGCTGCCAGAGGGTGGCCAACATTTCCCCTCAGGTATCTCAGTCCCATGCACTTCAGGCCCCATATTCAGTGAGGAGGTTGAAGGCACACAGAAGAACTGGTAGAAGGGAAAAACAGCATTACCAAGAATGTCAGAGTTCAGACACTTGCTCTTGTTATTGGGGACAACACGAGTCTAGCCCTTTTGTGGAATTAGAAAAAGGCTCCTCTGGGAAGATGGGGCCCTGCAGATGCACTTCTAGGTGGATGGACAAGGCCTTGGAGAAATTAGAGAAAGGTACTCTTCCTCCAGGGCAAAGGCAGGCTCTCCCCAGGCCCAGTGAAACTTGGTGAGCAGAGACTGGGTTTCTGCGGCCTCTCTGCCTGCGGCCAGGCAACCCAGTGTGGACACAGCCCGCATAACCACATACAGTGGGCCTGTTGTTACAGCTTTCTTCACGCGGCCTAAAGCGTCACTATTCCTTTTTCTTTTCCTATTCTTTTCCAGCATCCTGACCCAAGCAATGGGGAGCCAACCCGGAAACTTCCTCAGGGCGTTGTCTATGGCGTGGTGCGAAGATCAGATCAAAATCAGCAGAAAGAAATGGTGGTGTACGGGTGGTCCACCAATCAGCTGAAAGAAGAGATGAATTACATCAAAGATGTGAGTCACTTAAGGATTTTTTTGTTTGTTTCTGGTTTATACTCTCTCTGTAGCATGCAAGAGGGTGGAGTTGGAGCATTGATGTGAATGTAACACGTATTTTGGAAGATTTCTTAGCATTATCACTTTGGATGGGAATGTTTCTACATATTTTTACGGTCCTGCTAAGCGTACAGATGTAGTTCTTCAGTGAGGTCTACAGTGAGCTTCTGGGTGTTACTTAGTAGGACTGCCCAGACCAGCAACTTTCTTATTTTGTGCATAGTAGTGGTTCTCAACCTGTGGGTCGCAACCCTTTTGGGGGTCGAACGACCCTTTCACAGGGGTCACCTAAGACCATTGGAAAACACAATATAATTACATATTGTTTTTGTGATTAATCGCTATGCTTTAATTATGTTCAATTTGTAACAATGAAATTGGGGGTCACCACAACATGAGGAACTGTATTAAAGGGTCAAGGCATTAGGAAGGTTGAGAACCACTGGTGTATAGTATGGGGACTCTTAATTGGTTTTGCTTGTTCTATTGGACTTTCCTAATGCATGAGTTTGGACAACTGTATAAATTTAGATGATTTTAGATGCAGGTAACGGAAAAGCCAACTCAGAAGGGCAACTTGTCTCATGTGGGGATTAGTCTAGGGGTAGGTGGCTCCAGGAATGGCATTTTCCAGGCTCTGGTCTATTTCTCTGAGTTTCCCTTGGTTTGTTCCTCCTTCAGCCTCAGGCTCATAGTATCATCTGAAAACATGACAGTGTCTGGGGAAGAAAAGGAATCTCTCATCTCTGATCACTCTTTAAAGGCCCTCCATTAGGCTTCTCCTTATATCTCATGGGCCAGGACTGGGTCACATGCCCATTCCCAAATCCATCACTGGTGTGGGGAATGGCATGATCAAGGCTGGTTAAGACCAATCAGTTGGTTTGAAACAGATGCTGAAAAGTCAACCCATTAGACATTGTTAAATCCAGACCAATCAATGCCATTTCTTTGAATTTAATATTACATTTTTAATCTTTTTAATTCGTGTGTGTGTGTGCGTGTGTGTGTGTTTTAGAATATTTGGAAAATACAAAAATGTAATAAAGAGAAAACAAAATCACCCATAGTTCCACCATTCAACCAGAGCAGTTGTTAGCATTTTGGAGCATTTCCTTCTAAAATTTTTGTATCTATTTATCTGCTATATATCTCCATTTCTCTTTGGTTCTTTGGTTTCTGTAGATTGACCAATACCTTTGTTGACCAAGCCGGAGTGATTACATAGAGAGAAAATGAGCTTCTGTGACATTTATGGTCCCTAAACATTGACCCATGGACTAGAGGTGCTCGTGAGCAGCAGGGCATTGTGGGGCCATGGAGTACCTCATGGGCCGTGGTTCAAGGTCCAGCCCTCTGTTTGGCCCAGCCAACCTTTAGCCCTCTCTAGGCTTCAGTTTGCTCATGCATAGATCATGGAGCTGGGAAGGGACCCTTAACGTCAAAGCCTGTATAGGAGCAGCTTGGACATTTGTAGCTTTCTGTATTTTTCTCATGGAAATGCTTGGTCTTTTATTGAAACGCCCCAGATAACATGACACCGCTTCAGAGGTGAACCTTCTCAGCAGGGTGGAGGGTTGCAAATCACTCAAGACAAAGACAGCAGGTGCAGGCCGGCTGTGGACCAGGATGACACAGCTCAGCTCACAGGGGTGGCTCTGCCTTGAAGGGCCCGCCTCCATTGTGCTCTGCAGCGTAAAAGTAGTCTCCAGGCCCCCTTTTGATAGCTGGCTTCAAATCCATCATTGGCCTGCTCATTCCTACGCGTGTCCGTGGGATTGTTTGTCCTCTCTCGCTGTGATTCCGGTCCCTGGCTTCCTGAGTGTTCGCCACCCAGCTGAGGATCACGCCCACTCCCCACTGGTGGGCAGCGCAAGACAGTCAGGGCACGGGTGAGACATTCTGCCTGCCCTCGGTGGAAAGTAGTGAGTTTGGCCCCATTTCCCCAAATTGTTTGTAGTTAATGGCAGAAAAGTAGGCAATTATTAATTTTTGTTTTTCAATTATAGTTTACATTCAATATTATTCTGAATTAGCTTCACATGTATAGCAAAGTGGTTATAAAATGGTGTACCTCACAGAGTGGTCCCCCTGCTGCTTCCTGTGCCCACCTAGCCCCATACATAGTTATCATGATCTTACTGACGGTGTTCCCTGTGCTGTAATATGCATCTCCGTGACTATTCTGTAACTACCACCGTGTACTGCATGTTTTCCACATAGCCCCCAAACTCCTCCCCTCTGACAACTGTCAGTCGTTCTCTGTATCTATGAGTCTGTTTCTATTTTGTTGATAGTATACTATTATTAGAATTCATCTGGGGAAGGCTTGGCATCTTAACTGCCCTCCCAACTCCCCACCAATATCCAGTCACCCCTAATAAACATGTCTGATTTTAAAACGAGCTAATTCTGCAAAAGCAACTTCAAGATTGAGTCCCCTCTGCTGTCCCCTGCATGCCTGTGGTTACGCTAACCTTTGAGCCCTTCCTGTGGTGGAAGCTCCAGAGATTCCCTGTTCTCTCTGCAGATCCTTGAGTGCTTAGCTCATCCTGGGGGCACCAGATTATTGGGGGAACGGACTTCCAAATTTATGGGTTTTCCAGGGCTCATACTCCCCTGTATTACATTCCAGACATTTAATTGGCAGTCAGAGTGGAGCTAGGGAAAATTAGAGGTTGCTTTTGCTTATTGGTCCTCTCATCTGTGTGTTTGCTGACAAGTTTTAAAATTTTTCTACTTGTAAAATAACGTGTGATAGGAAAAGGGGCAGACTTTGCCAGAATTGTGGTTTGAAGGTGATGGGTGAATTTCAACAAAGCATTTTCTCTCCAGGTTTATTATTTATATAATTAATACTTGTTAATGATTATAATTATACTAGGGGCCCGGTGCACAAAATTCGTGCACTGGGTGGGGGTGAGGGGGAGTGTCCTCAGCCCAGCCTGCCCCTTCT